TAATAATAAAAAATCAATCCCACTTTTCTGTAGAAGTCACTCCATCATCCTTCAGAAAGACTGACGCTTTATCTTTAACATAATGTGATTTAGGGTTTTTTTTAAAGTCTGATAGCTGCTTCTTCATCCTGAGTTTCTATAAATGTGTTGGAATCAGTAGGTTGGCATTGAGTCTCTGCCAGTGGAACGATTTCTTCTGTTAACAGAGGAAACCCATCAGGAGCCAGTAGGGCCCCACAACTGGAGGATGGAAGGCGTAAGGACAGCAATTTTTTCTAATTCCTTCTTCTCCCCACTCCTTCATCTGCAGAACCTTGTTGCTCTCTCTCCAGAGTTCTGCTCTGGTTTTGGGATCGCAGAGTAGTGTCTGCTTTTATGGTAATCTAGTAAATAAATGAAAAAGTATTTCTATGCTAAACATTCTCCTTTGTCATGAAAGACTATAAAGTAGCTCAATAGAGATCTTACATCAGCTCCTTAATTAATAACATATTTGCCTTGATTGAAAGATCTGGCATCTATTGTCTGAATTTTGTGTTTTATACTAGAGTAATTAGTCTCAAATAATACCATACTTTGGTTTCTTCCAATCACTGTGTGCACTTGAATTAAGCATTTCTCCCACATTTTGAGAACAAGGTAGAAGACTACCCTTTAAATATCGTCCATTGTTAATGTATTCTATTATGTTGTTTCCTATCTAAACCCATGGGGAGAATCAGGTAAGAAGTTGCGATGATGATGAGAATAGCTCTATGTTTACAATTCTAATTAAATTGTGTGGTTTTTATGGAAAATGAAAGTGTTTAGTGCAGGGGTCCTCAAACTAAGGTCTGGAGGCCAGATGCGGCCCTCCAAGGTCATTTTTACCCAGCCCTCACTCAGGGTCAACCTAAGTCAGAAATGACTTAAAAGCACACAACAACAACAACAACAACAACAATCCTACCTCAGCAGCCAAAAGCAGGTCCACACTTCCCATTGAAATACTAATAAGTTTATATTTGTTAAAATTGTTCTTTTTAATTATTGTATTGCTTTTAAGTGTTTTTTTTGCAGTACAAATAAGATATGTGCAATGTGCATAGGAATTCATTCATGCTTTCTTCAAATTATAATCCGGCCCTCCAACATTTTGAGGCACTGTGGCCTGGCCCACTGTTTAAAAAGTTTGAGGACCCCTGGTTTAGTGTATACACTCATATATTATTTGACTTCAAGTATAAGTCGAGGCAGGTTTGGGGCTTAAAAATTATAGATTTTGATATGACCCATGGATAAACCAAAGACCATTCCACAAAGAGGGGAAAGCACTAATGCCACATCAGAGGCTAGCTTCTCTGGCCTCTGCCACTGCCATTTCGCTGCTCAGGCACTCAAACGGCCAGAAGTGATGTCACATCAGAGAGAGAAGAGGGGGTTGTGCTTTCTTAAGATTCTCCTGGGATCAACTCAGCTCTTATTTTTCTCCACTCTACTCAAAGAAGGGGATATGTGTGTGTGTGCGCGCGCGCGCGTGTGTGTGTGTATATATATATATATATGAGAGTTGAGGGTACTCACAGTACTCACACTGACCCTTGGATCGGTCGACCCAGTTTTTTGGCATTGATTTTTCTGATCAGAATTTGTATATAAGGTACTTAACATCAAAAACTATTTCTGCAAAAGAGTACATGATTCAGGATCCAACTAGGGCAGTTCCTATTGAGCCAATGCATTTTAGCCTACTAATTTTCCTTAGGAGAATGTAGTTCTACTCTACAAGAAATATATGGAGGGAAATTCAGAGGTGATTGCTAGCACGTAATGTGCATTTAAGAACATGCCAGTTCAGACTAATCTCCATCTTTTATAAAGTAAGTGGTTTAGTGGATAAAGGGAATGCAATACATATAATCTTCGGCATAATCAAATTTAGCAGTGCTTTTGACACAGTTCCACATGACATTCTCACAAGTAAACTAGTAAAATTTGATTGTAAATGCTTTGGAGGATAGGGTTTTAGATCGGAATGAACTTATAGTTTGGAGAACTGGCCTATAAGCCAAAAAATTAATTCCACAGAAGATCAAACAGAGTTACAAAATGAAATGCAGATCATGAAATGTGGAAGAACTGAATAACTGTTCAGGAAGGCCTTTGTTGATAATCTGAGCCTTTTTCAGCAGTATTCAATTGCTATAAAAATAAGGCAGGTCCTATGCAGGTAGCTGATCAGCTGGTGCTAGCAAAATAAATGTTTTAGTTTAAATATTTGACAGAAATATGACATGTAAATGTCAAGAAATAGGAGCATTTTTCTGCCTTGTTCTGCCTTTCAAAATTAGAAAAACCTTTCCAAGGAAAATATAGGTATTAGAATACATTGGAATAAATTCAAGACTAGTATGAAAAGGGAGATGGAAAGCATACTTGATTAGAAGGCATTTCAATAAACTATACTGTAGAAAGAATGGCCAGCTATATTAAGTGTTGCATTTTATTGGACTAATGTGACTTTGCTGCCATATTGGTTCCAGGTATAGCCTTGAGTTAAGATTTCTTTTTGAAAGCATATGTAGAATTCCAAGTTACATAGAACTCTTAATGGAGTAGCATAGAAAGGTAGCCATGTATAGGAAAAAGAAATGTGCAAAACATTAAAAATACAAAAGTGAAAAAAGTATTTGCTGTAATTATAACCCTTACATACTGTACAGATAAAAACTTACTTGCTTCACTTTCTTCTTTTGGGACATTAGATATACAAGTAAATCCTCCCTTTCCTATAACAGTAAAAACAAAGGTTTTGAATGAAGTTGAATTGTGGAAAGTTTGAAGGCAGACAAAATGAAATGTGCAAACATTCTTGCGTTTTCAAGAATTTTTGTTGGCCACCAATTTCTATAGCTTTAGAAACTAGAGTGGTTAAGGTACATGATATGATGGCTACGTTATACCAGAATTATAGGCAACATATTTCTGAACACCAGTTGATGGTGGGGAAGGCTAACTTATTTATACTGACATTTGGTTGGCTAATATGAGAGTAGTTTGAATTATGAAGTACAGTTTTGATCTTATCCATACAGTAAAATTATGCTCAGTCTTGACTACTGCTGTGAACTGTAAACAAGACTATCTGTTGGCTTGGAAATGTTAAATAACTCAAAATGGTGCGTGAATTTTAGAGGGGACCAACTGGATGGTTACCAGTGCAAATCCATAGAGCCCTAAATAATTTGGAGTCTATTAATCTGAAGAACCATCTTTATGTAATAATGTTTTCCAGTCTACACAAGCTCCTCTACAGATGCATACAAGTAGAATAAGTTTGACTGGCAAGCCCCATAGATTGCATCTTTTCAAGTGGTGTTCCCATAGCTGTTAAATAATCTTGCTGCAGATGTACAAACTGTCCTTTTATGCAAGAGTTCATGTTTGCCTTGAAGACTCATTTCTTCCATTCTTTATCCTAGTGGGCATAATCAAATCTCAATTGGGTGTCCTTATTGTCCAGTGTCCTAAAATGTATGATACAGTTGTAAATGTGTATCTTAAATTAGCAAACAAAATCATCATTTTCACATGCTATAAAATGTTGATTATAGCTTGTTGTGATGATTTGTTGTATTCAATACCAATAGCCCTTCATAGACTTTGTATTCTAAATAAAATTTTATAGTTTTATAGGAGTGCAGAGAGAGGTTGGTGTGATGGATATCAATAACCTTGTGATTAGAAGAAAACTGAGGAATTAATTCCTATCAGTACTCAGGACCCAAGGAATTGTGCCACCAGAAACCCTATGATTAGAGATGTACTGTTGTTCATTCGTTCCGTCGTCTCCGACTCTTCGTGACCTCATGGACCAGCCTACGCCAGAGCTCCCTGTAGGCTGTGGCCACCCCCAGCTCCTTCAAAGTCAAGCCAGTCACTTCAAAGATACTAACCATCCATTTTGCCCTTGGTTGGCTCCTCTTCCTTTTTCCTTCCATTTTCCCCAGCATTATATTCTTCTCTAAGATTTCCTGTCTTCTCATTATGTGGCCAAACTACTTCATCTTTGTCTCTAGTATCTTTCCCTCCAGTGAGCAGTCGGGCTTTATTTCCTGGAGGATGGACTGGTTGGATCTTCTCGCAGTCCAAGGCACTCTCAGCACTTTCCTCCAACACCACAGCTCAAAAGCATCTATCTTCCTTCGCTCAGCCTTCCCTAAGGTCCAGCTCTCACATCCGTAGGTTACTACAGGGAATACCATGGCTTTGACTAGGCGGATCTTTGTTGCCAGTCTGATGTCTCTACTCTTCACTATGTAGATGTACTACATAGAGAGAATTTGGCTCCTCTCGTTTCTTTTTTTTCTGATAAGAGTTGGTATTTGTAAACATAGTTGAATGTATTAGTCAAATCAGGATGCTGCTTGATAATAGGCCTTTGGAACTGGAGCTGCATACTTGTCATAGCCAACTGTCCAGGACATAACAGGCTAGTTTTGGGGATAAATATGTTACTTAGCGGTACACGCAAAAAACCCTCTATACAAAGTGTTCTGTCCTCCTGTTATAGACTCGCAAGAATTCCTCAAACCGACTGAAAGAGCATTGAGTAAATATTTCCATTATTGCCTATGCTCATTCTAGTGCAATGAAATAGCAGATACATTATTCAAAAAATAGAATTCAGTCTCTACAGTCTATCAATTGCTTATTTGTTCAGATGAGCAAACTGCATGGCCAACCAACATGAAATACGATATACAGTATTTGCTTTACTTCCATGTGGGTAATATGATCATTTGTAATATTAATGATTTATACCTTCTGTAATTATTAGAACAAAGGAGGTAAAATTTGCTCTATAAAATGGATTGCCTTGTAGATTTTTCCAGTGCAAATCATTTTAAAATCATTTCATATAGAGTGCTGTTCAGACCTGTTGTGTGTTATTTTCCATATATTCTACCTCTTTGTAATAAAAGATTGTCAAGGCAACTAACAACATCTCTCTTTTGCAGGAGAAACTGAAATAAGCTGGGCCATCAGTGATAAAGACTTAGAGGTAAGTTATTCCAGTGTGTGTAAACAAACTGCAAAAATTCTCAATATGTCTTTCAAATCCTCAAACAAAATGCTTGTCATTTCCCATGCTAATTTCCAACACGATGATAGGACTAGAGTTTAAATAGCATAGGTGAAATTAGCAGTAACAACATATACGTTTTTTTAAAAAAAAAAAATAGGATCTGGCATTCATGTTATAGTCTCTAGCATCTTTCACTGTGTATCAAAATGAATGGATTAGTTAAATGTATTTAGGGATACTCAGAGCTATGAGTGAATTTATATCATAACTAATTGTAGATTTATACATCTGCAAAGTTACTAGAAAAACAAAACAACTACAGAAGAATAAAAAGAAAGAATATTAGAACTGTCCTCTTGTATCTAAGCTCTTAAGTAGTGTTCGAAAAATCTAATGTTTTAGTACAGTGCCAAGAAATTGGCATGCTTATTTTAGAGAAACGAAGAAGTGTTCTGTGTCTTTGTTTGTGTATGAATAGCTTCAAAAGAAAAAGCGTATTTTTACCAACACTTACCCGTAAACGTTTCTGTTGTGTTCTTTTTTTAAAAAAAATGTTCTTCTTGGTCTTGGATTATCAAAACGGATTTAAACAGTGTATTTTAATATTGAGACAAATGTTTTTAATGTTTATGTATGTATATACAATATATTATATTACATTATATTATATTATTAGAATAGCACAGGAGACAAGGTGGAACTGTCTTCTGCCCCCTCACTCTTCACTCCGGCCCAGAGCGTCAGTTGGTGCTGGGGGGAGAGGTCCCCAACTGATGACATAGGCAGGAGACAAGATGGAACTGTCCTCTGACCCCCTCTCTCTTCATTCTGGCCCAGAGCAGCAGTTGGTGCTGGGGGGAGATGTCCCCAATTGATGACATATCCAGGAGACAAGATGGAACTGTCCTCTGACCCCCCTCTCTCTTCACTCTGGCCCAAAGCAGCAGTTGGTGCTGGGGTGGAGGGGTCCCCAATTGATGACATATGGAGAAGACAAGATGTAACTGTCCCCTGGCCCCCTCTCTCTTCACTCTGGCCCAGAGCGGCAGTTGGTGCTGAGGAGAGGGGTCCCCAATTGATGACATATGCTGGAGACAAGATGGAACTGTCCTCTGGCCTCCTTTCTCTTCACTCTGGCTTAAAGCAGCAGTTGGTGCTGGGGGGAGGGGTCCTCAACTGATGACATATGCAGGAGACAAGATGGAACTATCCTCTGACCCCCCTCTCTCTTCACTCTGGCCCAGAGTGGCAGTTGGTGCTGTGTTCCACCTTGAGTCCCCTTCAGGGTAAGAAAGGCAGAATATAAATGTTTTAAATAAGTAATCCTGGATCAATCACATATTTAATCTCATTTTTGTATATAGAATGAGTCCATTCATAAATAGTGGCTTAACGCCTTTGAGAAAATTGGGGGCAACTATATATTACTACTACCATATCAGATCTGCACCCACAAATTCAAGATGCACTGTTATCAAAATATCTGCAGAATGAATGGCCCAGTAAGATATGACAAAGACTTTAGTAAGGCTTCCACAGTGGAGGTATCCTAAACACTCTTGAAGATGATTTTTTGTTTACAGAAATTCAGAAAGCTCACATTTGGTAGTTGAATTTCTAGTGCTGGAGGCAGGTGATGGACAGCCAATCCTCTGGCCACATCCATGAATACCATTAGAAGAAGAAAAAACAGTAGCACCTTTTATAACCTCAGTACTATTAGAGTAGAAAATACTTCTGCTCTACTTAGTGTGACCCCTTGAATTCTCTCCCTCCTGCTCCTTTGCACTAGCAATGGAAATGATATCATTAAATGTTATCTCCTAGGGGTGAAGTAGCTGCATGCATAGGTGATTGTGGATGTCAATTGCACTACGCTTAAAAGAGCACTACAATAACCTTCTTAACAGCAGCTCCCATGTGGCTGAAGAGGTTCACTTGCAAACCTGTAACAACAAGCCAGGGATAAACTTATAGCACTGCCTAGGTTGGAGGAAGTCAGCAAAGCCATCGGACAATTAAAAAATAACAAAGCCAGCGGACATGATGGAATCCCTGTTGAAATCTTTTAAGAATGTGGACCTGAGTTGACACACCAACTCCACCATCTCATTGAAAAAGTGCGGCAACCGAGAATATTCCAGCAGATTTCAAGGACGCTACCATCCTCATTCTTTTCAGAAAGAGAAAAAGAACAGACTGTGGAAACAATTGAGGTATCTCCCTTTTAACCTCCTCTAGGAAAATCCTCACAAGAATCCTTTCAAACCGCCTTTTAGCTATTTTAGAAGACATCCTCCTGGAATCCCAGAATGGCTTCTGCCATTACAGAGGAACAGTGGATATGATCTTCACATCCTGCAGCTCCTCCATGATGACATGATGGCGAAGTCTTGGACAGCAGTAGCTTCCAAAGTGACCCATTTAAGGTGGAATCAGGTGTCAAACAGGGATATGTTATTGCCCTAACCATATTTTCCATCCCCATAGCTATGATACTATACCTTGTTGATGGGAAGCTTCCCACCGGTGGGGAAATCACCTATCAGACAGATGGCAAGCTATTTAACCTCAGCAGACTGAAAGCCAAAACCAAGGTCACAACAACATCTGTTATAGAATACCAATATGCTGATGATAATGTAGTTTGTCCTCATTCAGAAAAAGACCTACAAACCAAACACCTTTGCAGAAGCATACAAAAAGCTTAGTCTCTCACTGATAGATCACCAAAGTGCTCTAACAGCAGGCATCAGCCAATCCCTCTGCAATGCCAGAAATACAGCTTTATGGTGTAACATTAGAACATGTTGACCATTTCCGCTACCTTGGCAGCCACCTCTCCTCAAAAGTTAACATCAACACCAAAATAGAACACCATATGAGCTCTGCGAGTGCAGCATTTTTTCGAATGAAGCAGAGAGTTTTTGAGGATCGGGACATTTGTAGGGACACCAAAATGTTTGTTTATAAAGCTATTATCCTCCCAAACTTGGTTATATGCTTGTGAAACGTGGACCGTCTACAGATTTCACTTTCAACTTCTGGAACAGTTGCATCATTGTTGCCTCCAAAAATCCTGCAAATCTCTTGGGAAGACAGGCGGACAAATGTCATGCTGGAAAAAGTTACCAACAGTGCTGCGGAATTTGAAGAGGCATGAATGGAGGGTGAAAGGAAGAACTGTATCACGAGGAAGGTACATCAAACCAACCTTTGTCAGGACTGTCTTCCATCTGAAAATTATTGTCTTCACGGCAAAAGAACATGCAGATCAAGAATAGATACCTACAGTCCTATGGACGCACCACCAAGACCCTACACTTGTAGATAATCTTGTGCCTCTTCAAAAATTAAAGGTCTATAGTTTTATATGATTCTCACTTAAAACATTTTTCTATGTATTGACCCATTATTTCAGAGCACCAGTTATTTATCATCCAGGCTCTTTTCAGCATCAAAGCACATTAGTCGCTTCAGAAGGCACTGTGACAGTGAAACAAAATTGGTATGATCTAAAGATGAGAAGACTGGAATTTTCAGTCTAGGTTTAGTGAGGTTAAAGATCAAATTGTAGAAAGTAAATTTACAAATAGATACAGATGTAATTTCCTAACTCTATAGATTTTGCTAGAAGGCTGGCAAAAGGGGACATACAGAGATTTGTTTGAATTTCATATATACTTCTAAATTGTATAATCTTTTCCCAGCAAAACGCCCACATTTTCTAGATCTTTTTGGAATCTAGAAAATTGCTTGAGAAGTATCATCTCGAGGAATTTATTCTGAGCAATTGTTATTTCTTCCAGCAAAAGCATACCATAGAATCACATGGAGGATCTAGAAAACTCCTAGAGAGGACACTTTTTATTATTAAATAAAACTATTTATTTTGGTTATAGTACATAACAGAAAGCAAATCGTGGCAGATATAATCAGGTAACAATATTTTTGATGTGTACATGCCTATTTAGAGAGGACACTTTTTGTTGGATGCAAGTAGATGAAACCTCGGATACTTGCTGGTATAGGAGTCGTACTGTATTGTTCTTTTAGTTCAAGATTTGTTTGAAATTGTGTTTGGTTTATAATATTAGTTGCCATTAATACTTCTTAGATGGAAAGATAAGACAAATATCTTCTAGATTAAATAAATACACACAGACAAACACATATATAGCAATTGGTAAGATAAAAATGTTTAGATAGTTACACATTCAGAGGTTTCAGACAGTTTTCATAGTTATAGTCATTTAAAGGGGTATTCAGAAATCAAGGGAAAAATAAATGATGCCAAATAAAATTCCTTGCCATAGCCCCCAAGAAATCAGATCTAAATTTTACAGTGTTACCCTCAACTTCTGTTCATTGCCTTTCCAGAGGTTGCTTTCTATTACACTTCCTTATGTTTCTAATATTACACAGTTTGAGTTCTATAGTTCTTATGCTTTAATTTCTTATTTCTCTTGTGCATCAACTCACACACCAGCTGCCTTTTACATCTGTGCACACGTTTACTTGACCTTTAGCTCTAGCCACAAATAGCTGCGCAGTATGTGCTCTTCTAATTGAATAACATGGTCGCTATCAACTGTACTCCTCTATATTAGAAAGACAGTAGGTGCCCATTACTGCCATTGACTACACTGCATCAGCTAAACAAATAAGGAGTCACAATTTCTCTCTACAAAATCTTATTACAATGGTCTAAGAAAAATAACAGTCTTAAGAAATGTGCTCATTTTTTAAAGCCTTAACTATGTGTTCTACCTTTTACTGGTTTTTAGCACCTTAAGATACATTTATATTTTTGGAATCAATTGAGATATCAAGTTTGTGTGTTTTGTAACTTTAGTCATATTTGCTTAGTTTTTTTGTCTACCATTCTCACCTGTGTTTAAAGTGTTCCAATAGATTGTGTCTCAAGTTTTTAATAAGGTAAGGTGCCTTTACAATTATCATTAGTATAATTTGCAAAAAAAAAAATCTCACTGTGAAACAATATTGATAAAAGTTGAGATGAAAGGTGGAATGATCTATTTTTAATCCCTTTAAATAGTTTATTTTGAGAATGAATTTAGCGCTCACCAGGAATTTAGATGCCTTTTGTTTTCCCAGCTATAATAATACATTACTGGATTTTTGGCTCAACTTTCTAGTCTAGACAACTACAGACATTTAAGATAACAAAGCAAGAAACTATAAAAAGTCAATGATTTTCTTTTTGTTTCTTTAGGCCCAGATTGGTAACTATGTTGCAGTGCGGCGTAACAACAGATACTACACACTAGACAAAAATGTCACTTGTAGAAATTGCGATAAACGAGGTCATTTATCAAAAAATTGTCCTGATCCAAAGGTAAATGCAATATTTTGATTTGTCTATTAACACAATCATTTATTTTATCATTGTTAATTGTCAGCTTTCCAACTTTAAAGCTCAGTTTAGAAATACTTGAAAAATAGCATGTGTGTAAGAGAGAGAGAGAGAGAGAAAATGTTGAAACAGTCCTTCTTCCTAAAATCTGGAAAATACGGTTTTGTCCCATGGATCATTACTTGCTGACTTCTTCAAAATATGAATCCTATATTAATGGATTAATCAAAGGGGACCATACACTTACAGATCAAGTGATTATCTTGGCTAAGAGACAGAGGGAGTAATTAGAAGATGGCATTTTCCCTAATGATTTTAGCAATAAACTAAAACTTAAATAAGAATCCAAACCATGCAGGCATAGTATATCCCAATATATGAATTCCCATAGGCTAAGTAAAGATTTCTTTCTCCTTTCTCCCACCTAGGCATATGTGTAGACAGCATAAGAGTCTTTGAAAGATTGAGATATCTAGTTTTTTTATTTAAATTATCTTTAGTTCACCTTTAATGAGGTCATTAAATTATCCCACAAGGTCCCAAGCCTACCCCTAGAAGTAGGCACTAGTTATAACCTCTGTTCAATGACAGGCTTCTGTAAGACATGAAGCAGAACTGTCTAGGAAATGAAATTTTCACAGAAGTCATAGTAGTCCCCCCATGTTGATGATTCTTATTTTCTCATGCACAGAAATGAATGTAAACAAATAATGGGGACTTTTTTCAGTAACACCCCCTCCAGGGGCAGCAACGTGGGAGTTTATCTAGAAAGACTATTTAACTATTGAAGGGTTCTATGCATCCACCAGTTTGTATTTGGCCTGCTACCACAGCTCTCTTTACTTGTCATGGTGTTGTTTTTCATACATTTTCCATAAGTTGCTTGTGCTTTTTGCTCATGTTTAATTTTATAACTGTTCAGCAAAGATTCTCCTCATTCATAGGTGCCTATGATGTTTGTTTCACTTTTTAGGTTAAGAACATGTAAATCCTGCTTTTAACATTATTTGGGAATTTTATAGAAAATATTAGGAAGTATTTAATTTCTTTATGTTCTATCTTGCGTTTCTTCCAAATAACTTGACAGTTGACTAAGTTGTGCATTATATAATTCATATTTTAAAAAAAATAAATACATGCAAACTATTTAAATGAATACTGTACATACTTACATATGAGTCAAGAAATTTTAGTCAGAAAATCAATCTACAAAACAAGGGTTAAAATATTTACAAGTAAGTATAAGTAGAGTACCTTCACTCTGATCAAAAGAGAAACCATTCTCTTCTCTGAGTAGAGTGATGAAAGACCAGAGTTTAGTCTGTACTGAGAGAACCTGAAAGAACAACCTCCTTCTCCTGTCTTCACCATGGCCATACTTCTTGTCTTCTTGTATGTCTGGGTAAGAAAATGGACATGACGGTCAGGGGTGGTTGGTCCCCTGAGTCTTTCTCCCCCTATAGAATGAGTCTCAGCATTGATGCCACTCTCCTAGACTTAAACATTTGGTCAACTTATACACAAGTCTATATGGTATAACCAAAAGGTCATGAAAAACATGTCATTTAAAGCTGTTTAAAATTCAGAGGAAAATAACTTAAGCCAGTCTCGGTACCACCATTATTAAGAAGATCCTGTCCCTGATATCTGTAGTCTGGAGGCATGCAGGGCATTGGGTGCTGACAGAGGTCTCGCATAAAAGAGGTCTTGATAAAATAGGTCAGTGACCTGTAGAGGTGGTTTGTTTTTTGACTACCAGTTTTTGTTTCCCAATGTTACCATACTTGTGTTACTTTTTGGCTTTGTGTTGCATGTGTAAATTACATGGCACACTTCAATTCTGGTTCCAATTTCTTTGTGAACAGCAAATGTATATTAATTAGTACTAACATATTTATTGGAGTAAAATGTCTGCACAGGGAATTTTATTGCTACCACATAAATCATAGATTGATAGAACATAAAATGTATTAATTGGAGTAGCATTTCTCAACATGAAAAGTGCCTAAATTGCCATGTAATTAACTAGGCATTTAATATTATAAGCTTTTATGGGGTCAAAGTTAGTACATTTTCATTGTCTCCCAACTGCACATCCATAACTCCAAAGCCCTGGTAAATATTGTTATTAGTTTCCTTGACTAATAATATAGAAGAGCAAAGTGTAAATTCAAATCATTTGAGAGGCAAGGCTTTGGAAAAGCAGTTGTGGTTATCAATGGACCTCAGTAAGACTTCACCATAATTTTCCTGTATATGTTACTCCATTGGAATTCCACAAATGCCTGAACTTGAAATGGCTGAACTTTTTCTTTGTATTTCATCCACAGAAAATTCCACCTTGTTGTCTCTGTGCACAAAGAGGTCACTTGCAAAACAGCTGTCCAGCACGATTTTGTTTAAATTGTTGCTTGCCCGGACACTGCTCTAGAGAGTGCCTTGAGAGAGAGTACTGGAAGAAACATTGCAACCGCTGTGCTATGAGAGGCCATTATGCAGATGTGAGTATACTGTTAATAAAAGCTAACCCAGGATTCTCTCTCTCTCTTCAGAATGACTTCAACTTGTCACAATGTGCTGGTGCCATCCTCACTATTCTTGGCCAGACAGTTGCTGCCTGTTAGCATTCATATATATGCACATTCTGTTTATATGTAAAGGGTTTTTTTCTATATTGCAAAACTGCTGTTCATGACTGGGAGTAAAAAGACATGGTAAAAATAGAAAGTATAAGTGAAGCTCAGACATTTCAGCTAGTAGGATCAAATGGCAGGTTCTTGCTTGTATAATTCTTTTTCAGGTGCATTTGAATATTTATTTTTTTTAAATGTAGTACAATATGCCATTCTCCATATACCTGACTGTGCAATATATGAGTTTTTAAAAAAAAATCTATTCGTGGTTTTTTGTTTCAAAGAACAACTTTAAGCATAAGATTATAAAATAGATAAAGACTTGGTAACAGCAAGATCTTAATACATGTTTATTATGCTTTTGTTTAAATTGTTGCTTGCCTGGATAGTGCCTTGAGAGAATGTACTGGAAGAAACATTGCAACAAAATTATTTTTGTAATGTGCTGTTTTTATGTGAACTGATATTATCATTGTCTAATATGTTGATGTGATTTTACCTCTATTTTCTGTAGTTATGACATTTGTATGTGCTTCTGTAAGCTGCCCCAAGTTCACTTTGGGAGATGGCGGGGTATAAATAACATTGTTTATTATTATTATTATTATTATTATTATTATTATTATTATTATTATTAGAAACACAAAAAGATGAGTCCACAGCAGACACTCTGCTGGCTGTTGAATTGGATCACATGTCGGACACTTCCCAATTATTATTATTATTATTATTATTATTATTATTATTTTACTATTTCTATCTTTTAAATTTAAATATCTTAGAAAATGAAGATAGCTTTCTTGAGCCTGGACAAAATAAGGAAGATAGTGCAATAAAGCCTCAAAATGATATCTGATTTTTCTCTGTATCTCACCAGCTTGAGTTTTTAAATTTTTGAAATTTCAGTCTTTCTGTAAACTCAATACGTGGAAATAGCTAAGCTTATTCTTTGTTACTATTTCCCTAATGTGGGAATAACGATTATATGGTTAATGTAGTTGTATAAGGATTAGTAGTTAGTTGTTTAAAGTAGTGCTTCTCAGTAGTTCTTCTCTGATATTTTGGCCACCAGCATACCATTTCCCTCACATGACTGGAACTGGAACTATATTTGTTCACATTGGCTATTCGTTTCATTCCTGGAGATCCTTCAATTACTGGCAGTTGATAGCTTAGGGACTACCACTGGTCCAGTGTGTAGTCCTTGTTTAAAGTAAAGTAATATATGGTCTGTGGTCATCCGTACACAATGCTGAACACACTAGCACATTCTCTCTATTTACTACATGTACAGTTCGTAGGGTAAAGTTGGTTGTTATGTGATATTAAGGATACATTGGAGCCCCCGATGACGCAGTGGGTTAAACAGCTGAGCTGCTAAACTTGTTGACTGAAAGGTCGCAGGTTCAAATCCAGGGAGCAGTGTGAGCTTCCGCTGTCAGCTCCAACTTATGCCAACCTAGAAGTTCGAAAACATGCAAATGTGAGTAGATCAATAGATACCGCTCCAGCGGGAAGGTAACAGCACTCCTTGCAGTCATGCCGGCCACATGACCTTGGAGGTGTCTACGGACAACGCTGGCTCTTCGGCTTAGAAATGGAGATGAGCACCAACCCCCAGAGTCGAACATGACTGGACTTAATGTCAGGGGAAAACTGTTAACTTTACCTTAAGCAAACATTTGCAGTTCATATTTGTCATGTGGGAAATGTCATGCATTCTGTAGTAATAAAATCCAGTGCTAAGAAAAGCTAGCCTCTTCAGTGAGAATAACTTTGGCAAATTAAGCAAATATGCATAGGTCTTCATAATGTGCACAGTTTCTTCTGATACGTGCATGATACTATGTAGGATTTTAAAGCCCCACCCAGTATTCCTGTAAATCCTTCTCAAACCTTACATGGTTTCTACAGAGCACCACACCCCAGAGTCAGACATGACTGGACTTAATGTCAGGGGACTACCTTTGCCTTTTTTACAGGGTTATTTGGCACTCATTATCTGTACATGTTCAACTCTATCATTACAAACAGAAGAATAAAGGTATTTACATTGAAAACAGAAAGAAAAAAGGAGAACTTCATTTCTTTGTATTTCCCATTCGTTTCTGGTTTTTTGTGTCTTCTTGTCTTTTTTAAAAAAAGTATTACTTGACAGAGAATGGGTTATTAGAGTAGTATCAAGTTGATGGACTGATGGAAGAAGAAAGAGACAGAATGGGAAGAGATGTATGGACGAATTTGGAAAGTGGGAGAACAGCTGGTTGGTTCTGTGAGCTGGGTTTATGAGCCTGCAAAATGCACCTCTAGCCCCAGGCCTTTGAGGTGATTTTATGGGACATGACTGGACAATGTTTAAAATCAACCTAAGACTAATTGATTTCCTTATAATTTTTATTCTTGTCAGTTTGTGCTAAATATTATTTTATTGTTTCCAAATTTTATATATATATATAAGATTACTGGAATAATTTTATTAGAAGAGAAAGAGAAGGAGGTAATGATAAAGATATGATTCCTCATATTACTGCGAAATATGTATAGGAAAGCCGTTGTCAATAAAAATGAGGAGATCTACATCAACCTCAGATGCAGCTGAAGAAGACAGAACTGCCCAAGGGGGACATTCCAACTATCTAATACAGAGATCCAGAAGTCTTCTGTATACTAGTAGATGGGAAATCTTATGGCAGTTAGAAAGTCAAGTGCACTTTATCCAGACAGTGCACTCGACTTTCTAACTGTCTGCATTTGTGTGTAAGAGCTATTAATTTAGGTACAACTTGCATCATCACTTCTTTTCTTGTATTTCTTGTATTTCTAAATTTTCCTTCCAGGCTTAAAAGGAACATATAATAGCTTGGTTGATGATTTACTTGTACAATGAATTCTGTTTTTAAAGACTAGTTCAAAATTTTAAAACTTCAGATATATTTTATCTTCTACTTTAAGAGCTCTGATTATAGTGGGTTTTTTTTAATGAAATGCCTTGCCCTACATAGTACTGAGTGAAAAAATGACCCTAAATTCCTTCCATCTAAAACTTTTCACTAGACCATTTTAGTTCACTCAGACAATCTGCAACCAGTGTAATAACTACTACTACTACTACTACTTCTACTTTATATTTGTATCCCGCCATGATCTCTCCAAAGGGCCTCAGAGCGGCTTACATGGGGACAAGCCCAATCAAACATAGATTAAAACATAAAAGCATCATAAATAAAGTTTATTAAAACAACATCATAAACAACATAAAATAACATCAACAAGAGCCAATAGCCTGACATGGTATTCAAATACTAACTCGGGTGGGCAGGGGCTTGTGCAATAAAATTGTAAAGACAGGGCAATTGGAAAAAGTGCAGAAGCCAGATGATAAACTAGGACTAAAGGGCCATATCAGTTAGAACATTATATCTATAGGACAGGGAACAGCGATAAAGTGCAGGAGCTAACTATTGAGTTATGATTGAGGGAGCAAAATTTAGTCAAATGCACAGTGGAACATCCACATTTTTAGGTCTTTACAAAAACTGGACAGGGTGGGCGCCAGTTTAAACTCCCTGGGGAGAGAGTTCTAGAGCCGGGGGGCCACCACTGAGAATGCCCCCTCTCTTGTCCTCAACAATCACGCTTGTGATGGAGGTGGAAGTGAGAGAAATGTTTTCATTGTTGATTTGTTTCTGGTACTATAACCTTGCCAAAAAAGAATCCTGCTGGTGCACCACACCAGTATAACTATGTTGGCAGTAGCAGGAGACAGAAAAAGGCCAAGGAGGCCGCAACTATCAAGGGAATTCAGCTTCCGAGAAATAGGCTGTTTGGAGCTCCCAGATTTTGTCAGCCTTGCCTCACACCTAGTGCATGTCCCAGGGAATAGTTCTGTGATGTATTGCAGCCCTGCACTTTGAAAAGTCTTCTGCTGGCACTTATGCAAGAGTTCTCAGAACAGCATTAGTGCATTTTCCCCTTCTACTCAAGATTCTTTGGATCCAAGCCTAGAGGTTTTTTAGCTTTAGATATTTAATTCATATTTTAGGTCCAAAATTTTTCTTGCACTTGGCGATTGATTTTGAATAATGTGCTCATTGGTGCAGTCTGACCAGAGCTTGGAAAGTAAACAGTGTCAAGCCCACAGAGCTTGGAAAGTAAACAGTGTCAAGCCTACAGAGTAGTTAGTACTGTTATAGTTTTTTTTTAATGATAGTGGCTTGCTTTCCTGGTGAAAGGGTATCTCTTTGCTTTTTGAGATTTACCCTTAGCTTGTTTAGAGATGGACGCTCTTGAGCTCATCCAAGCAGACAGATGTTTGTTTCTGTTCCTCCTTATTTGTGTTATATGGGCAATTAGCGTGATGGTCTTTCAGGGTAATGTTGCATACCTCACTTATACCCCTATTTTCCTCATATTCTTGTTTTTTTTTAAAAAAGGATGCATTCCTTGATTAAAGGGAAGGAAGACAAACTGGATATGAATGTAGGAGGTCCTGCAAGGGCCTTTAGTGTGTCTTGCCTGTGTACCATAAGAGAGGAAGAGAGGTAGAAAGGTGATGATTCCATTCTGTGTTTTTTGGGGTATCTTGTTATATGTACATTTATAACAATTCATAATTCTTCATATTGTTTTATTATTCCTAATTCTTTCAGCAGACATAGACTTAGGAAGGGTCATGTGGGGCAAGCCAATGATGGAGAGTCCCTAAATGTTTTTATTGATGAGTTTAATCAGCTCCCTTCCTGTTAACTGTCACAGAGAGGTAATTAATATGACTGGTGTTATTAAATCTTTTGTTTGCTGTGGTGGCTTGCGACGGTGGGGCAGCTCCTAACAGCAGCTTTGACAAAGCACCAGAGAATACTGTTAAAAAGTTGTGTTTAGTAATTGTAGTCATCGTGTCAGGCCATAACTGACTTGGAGCTGAAGGATTTTTGTGAGATGAGTAGCTGTGCCAGCAGGGACCCAAGTCTCCTGGGCCAGCCGCACTCTCATTAAGATTTGCCGCTAGCAGTGGCAGTGTTCGGCAAGTATGTGACGTGCATTCTGTTATTGTATGCTTGGCTTGTCAGCCTGCAGCTTTCTGACACTCACTTATGTCACTCTTTATTCAGAGAGGAAGAAGCTTTTGATAATTTGACAAGACAAGCTCTTAAACGATCTAGGTCATGGCCTTCACTGTCTGTGATTGTGAACATATTTCCTGAAAGCCCTGTCAGTCATCACAGCTACATTTTCTCCCGGGGAGCCATAGGCCTGTCCCGGTCTCTTGTCAGCTCATACATTTTGGTTATTCATATACCAAATACAGTCTTGGTTGAGGGTTGTTGTTTTTTTCCCTTCACTTTTGCAAATGCTAGCATGTTAGTAAGGCTAATCCTTTCTCCTGTGTTGTGTTCCCAGCAGGGTTGTGTTCAAGGGTTCTCTCTAGTACAAGGCAGACAACTGGCCAAGGGGAGCTGAAAAGGAGGAAAGGCCGCTTAGTGCTGTTTTTGTGTTTGTTCATTGTTGTGGAAATATGAGAACTGGTGGCAAGGGCCTTGTCTATTGAGCACTTGAGTCTTGGTCTGCTGTCAGGGGCTGTTTAAGATTGAGTGTTTTATTTTCTTTGATGTTCACATTTGAGAATAGGGAAGTGGGAATTAAACAACAGATGCACTAAGCCGTTGTTCTCGTAAAACAATAATTAGCACATGATAAAATTCAATATGGGTCAAATGGAACAATATAAACGCTTGATTCATCTGGTGTGACAAAGTGTGTTGATTTGTTTTTTATTTTTATGAATACTCACCAGTCCAGGTTACTGATGGGATAAATATGAGGTGTGTGGCGGTGAGCACAATTGTGTAGAACCACAAGAAAACTATGCTAGCCTTGGTAGAGCGATTCAGGAGTATATATATTTGTTGTAAAAGGTGAAGTAGCTCCTTTGATAAGCAGGCATTTCGTGATCATAGAGGCAGCTGTTGGTGTATCAGGTGATGGGACCAGGAAATAAATTTAATGTTATTCACATGTAGTTGTACCCCATCAGAGAGTGTTTTTATTTTAGCTAAAACGGGGCAATTCATGTTTAAATCCTTCTAAATAAGAGAAATACAGTCTCAATTGTAGTCGAATTTGGTAATGCTCTCTTCCATAACAAGCCATTTTATTCATTTGATCAGCCAGTATTCTGTAGCAACTGTTAATTAGGCTTTGTGTCATTCAGTAATAAGAGGAAGATACAAACTAAAGGTAAAATTGACACACAGTGTTGTCTTGCAATCATAAAATGTTGTGGTCACTTTTAAATATATATATTTTTATATACAAACTTCTTTGAGGAAGTTGTATATATTTCCCCTTTGGGTTTTTGGAAGCATATTTTCTCAGAGGTTTATCACTCTAAATGTGCTTACTGTTTCAATTTCATATTGCATTCCTGAGATAAGCCCCTTTAAATTCTATGGGGCTTTATTCTGTGTAGACACATTTCAAAATACACTTTTAGTGAGCATTTTAGTATACATTGTGTTTAAAAAGGTGTCACAGAAATTCCAAAAAACATCCCTATCAGATTTTCCCATACGCACACTATCTATCTATCTATCTATCTATCTATCTATCTATCTATCTATCTATCTATCTATCTACCTACCTACCTACCTACCTATCTATCTATCTATCTATAGTATATAGTGTGTGTGTGTGTGTGTGTGTTAGTCTGTTGACAACATATATATGTGGTGTGTGTGTGTGTGTGTGTATACACACACATAACACATATATATGTTGTCAACAGACTGAAAAACATACAGAGGCTATTGAAATGTGGCCCCTTCCTTGTGGACTTTTATTCAAAGCAAGGGAATTTGGATTTATTTCAAAACAACAAATTATACAATTTAGAATCTTGCCTCATCTTGGCCAGAGTGATATAATTACATTTCTAGAAACAAATAATCCTTTCATTATATGATTCTGTAAGTAAAGGTCATATACTAGGAAATGCTCTTCTGGCATAGGAAAAGTCATTGACAACAGATTTTCAACCACGGTGATAATCAGTAGCTATGCAGAACTAATGGATAAATAGCTGCCTGCTTATCCTTGTTATAAGGCAGCTCAAATGTTTCATACAGAAAAATATGTAGCAAAAATCCCTTCAACAATGCATTTAACAAAAAGAGCAGATACTTTTTTGTTCCATACAGTTTTAATATGTCATTATGAAAAGTGATAAATGTCTGTCTGTATAAGCAATGGTTACAGCTAGGCTACGTAGCTATAATGATATATTATATATGCCTTAAATGGCATTTAGGGTGGCTTACGATTTCTCCTATAATATTTTGAATTCTGAAAAAACAACCCCAAAAGTTACATTCAGATAAGAAGAGCAACACTATATGACAAAAGGGAGGGGGGAGAGAAAAATTCACTGTGACAGCACCTTTAATTCTGTCTCTTTTTACATTTTTAAATGAGTTTTCATTTTAAAAAATCATTTCTAAATGAGTTTTCATAAACCCCACTTGTCAGATAAAATACATTTTTACTAACCTGTTTGACATTGGTAAATTATTTCCATGTGAAATATTATTAATAAAACACTAAAATTGGAAGCAGTTATATCTAAACAATTATATAATATTAAGCTGAAACTAGCATGATTCCGGGTTGATTTGAAGAGTTTGCATCTTTTCTCTACTAAAACTTTATTGAAATGCAAATTGTGCCTGATAATGTTTTTGTACATTTTTTTTCTAGGATTACTTGAAATAGATGCAAGTGCAAATCTATAATTTACTGTGCTGTGTTAAGTTATTTAAGATATAATGTAAGAGTAAATAAAGCAAAACAAAAGCTTTGATCAAAAATAGAAGCTATAAAGCATTATCTCAAACTTAAGAAAATTAAATACCTACAACAATTATAATTTGCTTCTTATTACAGTTGTCCTGAGAAATAGGGAATAGTTTTGGACTTCTAAACAAAAGTATGCTAAGACAAGTGACATTCTGGATCACACATTTGGGCAGTCTAAAATGTTGAGAAAACCCCATTGCAGCACATCAGATATTTATTTACATTTCAGGAGTCTTCCAAACTTGTATTCAGAACTTCTAAACTTTAGCAAAAGAAAAGAAGACAAAAAAACTGTTACTGGCTCTCTGACAATGGCAGGGAGTGTGTTAAACCAGTGTAAAATTCAATTAAACTGTCTAGCCAGGTTTTTGAAGCTGAAATGCAGACCCTTTCTGTTAAGCTTCTTATTTTCCTGTGACCGACACCGGTGGATACTGTGTTATGCCAAAACCAACAGGCTGTAAAGCACCTTGTTTCATGCTCCCAACTGATCAATATTTTTATTTTCCAGGCTTGCCCAGAAATATGGAGGCAGTATCACCTAACAGTAAGTAGAAACACCTTTTTTATTTTCTTTTACACCCAGCCTATTTACTCTTCTCTGAACTGCTGACCATAAAATATAGACAGAATCTTGTGAAGGAAGATCATAAATATCTGAAGAGGATTTGAACTGAAGAAGCCAATACTGTACTGTGCTTTCCCCCCAACATTCTTTGGAAACTGTTTATGTCAAAGAAATCATTCATATGGGTATGATGTCACTTTTCCACCTATAACTTCATCAGTGGTACATAATAGAATAGTAATAACACCTGTCTCGCTGAAACACTGGACACTGCTGTTACACATCTTGTGTGTGTTCCCAAGAACCATTATATCCTTTCACATTTTCCAAGTAAAATGATTTGTATACTCATAACTCTACTAGAGTGAGACACTGAAAATAATAAAACATTTTATTTGTGCTTTAATGAGGAAATCAGTTGTTACCTATACTCATAACAGCTTGAAATATTTTGTCTCTACCTATATGTAAAATACAGCCAAAACTTGGGGAAACACAGAACCTGTATTTGAGGTGGCTTAAAACAATATTAGGTGTTCTGAGTTACATCTTTATGCAGGTTTATATTTGGCTGTACAACATAAGCACAATAAATATTTTGGAATTGAATTTCTAAAAACTTAGAATAGTTTTTGATAAATCACAAATGGTTTAATACCTCTCTTTCTTATTCCATCTTCTCCTTTCTAGGTGGTAGGTGATGTTGGAAGTATGTTCCCACTTGCATTTTAGCATGACATTGCTTTCCCATTTTCTCCATAAAAAAATTAAACTCAGTTACATAATGTTCTGAGTTTAATGCTTGGTACCAAAATTATTTTTTTTAATAGGTGTTCTGTTTCAGGAAATAGCGTAGTTTCTTTATACAAATAGAGATTCAAGGAGATATTATTTCAGTATTTCAGACTATTTTGTATTTAGTTGCTCACTTAGCTTTTTATCTGTTTCCAAAAAGGTAGATTTCTCAAAAATACAAAAAAATCAGAGGATTTTAAAAAGTTCTTTTTAAGGCTGTTAGATTACAAGAACAACTACTCAGATGAATTCTTTAATGTGTTTATTACCTTGTGATTTCTTAAATATGTGCAATACATGCACTTGATTCCTTTCCATAGCATTTTTGCATGAAATACGATTTTGATAACTGGGGCTATTGATATATTATCAGATAAGTAATGTCATGTTTAATAGTTTCTTTATAAAATTCCTAACTTAATTATTTAAGAATTGGAACATTATTTCTAAATTCCCACCAAACCAAATTATATGAGCATATAATTTTAAAAGATAGAAACCTAATGTCTGAAAAGACTAAAACATAGCAGTGCTTAAAGAATAGAAACTGAATGCCATCTCCATAGTATGCACTCAATAAATTTGAAAAACAGTTTTTTTAAAATCATATTTGTGCTTTTTTATATTGGTATAAAATATTTTATTGCATACTTGTTTTTTCTAGTTTTGTTTGCCCCAGTTACTTTCTCTCTTAATAAACTAGAATATGAAGTATATATCAAATCTGCATAAACAGAACAAATTTTGTATATCATACAAATATATACCATGTCGATAATCTTTTAATCCCACTTATTATGCATGTTTGTCAAAGGGTTATATAAAATGTGTGGTTAATTTCTCATGCATAATCAAAATGTCCCTAATTAATCATTGTGAATGCTTGTTCAGATCAACAGAACATAGTATTTGTCACTTCTTTGACTTCTGGTTGTTTTCATTCATTTTGCCTGCTTACTAAGAGATGGAGTGCCATCTATTGACTCCTGGTAGCTGTTGCACTTAAAAGCTGTCTTCAGTGCAAGTAGAAGTGTAAATAATATACTAGATGGATGTACTTTTCTTATGTCTCTGGTACTGGAAATATTAGTTATGTGAAAAAACTAGTGTCATTATTATGTTAGGCACCTTCTCTGTATTCAAGCATCCTGCCAGAATACAAAACATAATAAAAACAAGGAAGGCTAAGAAGCAATGTCTTAATTGGTTCCTTGTACGTTTCTACCTTCTGTTATTTCTGTTCTTGGGGGCTCTTTTATAATAACATTCTAGGTCAACACACATTGCAGAAACTTCTGTGGGTTGAAGATTCATTATTTTCTATAAATAATAACTGCAGAACAAACCCCTGTAGTTTCATAGAACTGATCATAATTAATCCAAAGATAATATTTTTATTTTCCTTGGTATGTAGCATATGAATTTTAAAACTGCAGCAATGTTCAAAATGTAAAGACTTTGAAGCATGTACATGCCTCTGGTATACTATTATACAAATTCCAAATACTTTCAATTGAACCAGAGTTGTTTTTAAAATATATATATATTACTATAAGTATTCTAGGGTCCATAGATGCATTAATGTCTGGAAATCAGGCTGGCTGTCTAATGTTCCACAAGAGTGGGATGTATAATGCCTGACCTCAATGTTATATTATATATGGAACCATTTTTCAAATTAACAGGATTTTTAGGTATGGTAAACATTTAGTGTATAACGGTGTGCATGTTCCTTTGCAGTATTCTCTGTGGTTAGCTTATTAATTGTGCACTATTCAAACTTTATTTTATATTTTTGTCAAGAAATTTTCATTGGGTAGATAAGGCCTGGATCCATTTTGTAAAATTACAGTTCTTTACTTGTCTGTTTCATTTCAAATGCATTGACCTTCAGGAGAAGGTGCAGGAATTCAAATTCCAGACTGATTTTATGCCCTGCTATTTGATCCTAGTGTTGTTGACACTGGGTGGAAAATGGGCTATATGTGAGACCATGAAGGTAGCGGATTTTGCATCTGTTGGGAATCCCTTTTGCGATTCTGTCCTAAAATGTTTTGGGACTGTGGCTTCTCAAAGAGCTAACAGAAGGTTGTAGATGAAATTTTTCTGTGTATGCAAACTCCCAGCTATAATATTTAACATTTTTACATAGTATTAGCAGAAGGCCTTGCAGAGAGAAAACAAAACCTCATAGCCTTGTAAATTCTGGAAATAAATAACCTTCTGCAAATGCCATTTTGATGTAAATGTAAATGAATAGATTACAGTTTCTCATTTGGAAATATTTATTTATAGACTTCCATTTTGATTGCAAGGTCCTCAAGGTCTTAAGTGTATAGGACAGACATAAGAACAATTTAAGCCGTGAACAAACAATCCATTGGTTTCAAACATGGCACTTTGGGTACAAGGTAGCAGTATTTGACTTTTTGATTTGAAAAATTAGACTGTTATTTTTAAGTTCTTTCTAATATGTGAGTTCTAAAATTCCTTTTAAGATTTAAAAAATGTATTTATATGAATGTAAACATTAAATCTTAACCAGTATCAAAGTTGTTTATGAAAAACAAGCTCATACATTACAAGGTCAAAAAATTATATATGTGTATAGCCACAACCAAATTTTGCTCAATTGAGAGTTCTTATATTTGGGGTATATATTATAATATAAGTGGTACAAAATGAAGCTGGGTAGGTATTGTAATCAATTGGAAAAATGACATTTCTGTCTTATTTCTGTTTTGTGGGTTGGGGCGGGAGGGGAAATTTGTATTATAATGGCGTATTGTATAAAATCTAGAGAGATCTTAGGGTATTCAGAAAATAGTGACTGGTCCTAAATGTACACCAACTGTTAGGGGAACAAAAGCATATGAAAGCAAAAAAGCTTTGCAAACAGTCAAATTGGTTTGCACATAGTCTGTTTTTTTTCTTCTTCTTGATATTTTGCTTTGCCGTGTGGGGTCTCCACCCTTTTTAAGGGATTATGATTTCTGCAGTTGCTTTGCCTTGTGTAGGCAGCAAGTTCTCCGCCCTCATCTGCTATCTTCACTTTTCTCATTTATATGAAAACCCCTCACTAGGATGGTCACCACCAGGGTTTTGCCACCATCAGAATCAGATTATTAGGCACTATGATTTGGCGTGCTTTCTGCCAGCTTGTTAATGTTACTTTCAACCACTGTGTTCAAATGGTAAACCAGGAACTGCTGTTTTGGCATGGATGTTTAAAATATAGTAAGACACAGAACAATTTTTGGTGCTTAAATTTTATGCTTTCATTTCTTTTGTGCAGTTATTAAAATTATGCTTGACATGCTATTTTTCCTCAATTGTGTATGTACGCAAGCTTACATTTAAAACTGTATTAAGATCAGGATCAAAGGAGCTCCTGATACTCAATAAAAATGTAATTACTAAATATAGATAACTAGTCCCAAATTGAAAGAAATTTGATGATTATCAGCAAGAGTTCTACAGAATAGAAATGAAGTAACATTTTAGCTAAACCAAAAGTTTGGTTTTTCTTAATTGCATCAGTGCCAATCCTAGCCTGAGCTAAGATACATGAATATACATTTTTGTAATTGTTTTTTATGTTAGATTATTGTATTGTTTACAAAAGGGTGATGTGAATTTCTTTTGCATGCTTTAATTTATACCTATAGTTGTATCAATTCATCTAGCTGTTTCTACCTGTTTTGGAAAAAATACCCAATATTCTGGCAGCTTTCAATCATCATGGTTTCTCAAACGTATGTGCTACTGAGTTAGGCATTATGAATGTGTTTGGAAATAGATGTGCAAAGTGCAGTAGCCTTCCTCCGTAGATTCTTAAAATGTTTCAGAAAGAAGTATTACTTGTAACTGGTAGAAAATCAGAATATTTTGGATGTTTATTATTGTTATATTCCAAAGCATCTCGTGACAAAAAATAATATTTTGACAAATGAATTTTAATTTTAATTTGAAACATTACGTTATATCTGAATTTGAAGAGGAATGATCACTTTAATATATTAAATTGTCAGATTAAAATAAAAATATAAAAACCCATGAATTTATTAATAATCCCAATAATAATAATAATGATGATGATAATAATAACAACAACAACAACAACAACAATTTATTTGTATACCGTCCTAGCTCCTCAAAGGGACTCAGTACCGTTTCCAACATGT